CTGCCTCTGCCTCCCGAGTGCTGGGATTAAAGGCGTGCGCCACCACCGCCCGGCAAAATTACATTTTTTAATTGCATGTGTTCAGTGGGGTGGGGGAGAAGTGTGCTGTGCACAGTGTGGAGGTACGGTGAAAACTTACAGGAGTCGATCTCTCTTTCCAAGTGCGCCCTGAGCATCAAACTCAGATTGTGGTCGTTTTGCCAGGGACAGGCACTAATGTTTCATTCCGTAAAATTCGCACCTCGAGAGAGATGGTCACTTGCTGCTTTTACAGAGGACTGGGTTCAAGTCCAGGACCCCATGATGTAGGGGGTATGATGCCCTCTTCTGGCCACTGTAGGCACTTCACTCACGTGTTGCACAGACATCCATGCAGACATAATATCCGTGCACGTAAAATAATAAAATATTTTTTAAATCGCACCTAATAAACTATATAGAATAACTATGAACTAAAAGTATATAGCTCAGTGGAAGAACACTTCACTGGGATGTGTGAGGCCCTGAGTTTCATTCCCAGCTCCGCAAAAACAGTACATTCATTGTAACAAAAGTTAAACACTTCCCCAGATCAGCACCACAGACCTTGTGAACATTGGACGTACCCAGGCTTCAAGAATGTGGGTCATGCTCTGGACCTGTTTTTGCCACCATCGGAAAGAATGTCTCCAACAACCGCCCTCCTTGCCCCAACACACACGTAAACAGGCTGACCTGGAGGAAAGTAACATTAGCCCTAAAAATGTCGTTCTCCCTTCCCTCCCAGGACGGGATGTCCTAGCCATTTGCTAGCCTCCTAGAGTAGCTCTGGGACGCTTAAGGCAATGACTGGGACCATGACCGGGAGCTACTAGGGAGGAGAGAGGTGTAGGGGCATAGAGGCGTGGGGAAGCTCGTGAGCGTGGTGCTGAATGAGCATCAGGGGTGGAGCAGTGCTCGAGTGGGGGTCACGGGAGGAGCTTGGAAGGAGCTGGGCGGTGCCCTGGAGCCACGGGGCGGGACTTGGAGAGCTCAGAGGCGGCGCGCGGAGAGGGCTCAGCATTACAGAGGCGGGGCGTGGAGGGCTCGGGGGCGGGGCGAGGCGGGGCAGGGGCAGGAGCTGGGCTCCAGAGCTTGGGATGAGAGAAGTGGAGAATTTAGGAGCAAGGTATAGGGACGGATTTGGGGCATGGAGAACGCAGGGGCGGGCGCCAGGGCTGGGTGCTGAGGTTACCGGGGCGGAGTGTGGACAGCGCTGAGAGCGTGGGAGGCAGACACAGGGATACCGAGCTTGCAGAGCGCAGGGGCGGGGACTAGGGAGCTCAGGGGAGGGGCCTGGAGGGCGCAGGGGCGGGGCGTGGAGAGCTCAGGAGCAGGGTTTTGAGAGCTCAGCGAGGGGTGTGGGGGATCAGGGGTGAAACGGGAAGAGCTCAGGGGCGGGGATTAGAGGGCTCAGGGGCGGGGATTAGAGGACTCAGGGGCGGGGATTAGAGGGCTCAGGGGCGGGGATTAGAGGGCTCAGGGGCGGGGATTAGAGGGCTCAGGGGCGGGGATTAGAGGGCTCTGGGCAGGGCGTGGAGGGCGTTGGGATGAGACTGGTGGCTGCTTAGTCGATAGACTGGGCGGGGTTGGGACGCAGGCGGGACCCGTGGGGACGCGAGTCCTGGGCGCCTAGATGCCCAAACAGAGGCGACCGCGGGCTCGGCTTGGCCTCGACCTCTCGGCACCCTTGGACCTGTGCACCCTGGCCGTCTGCCCTTGGTCCCCAGCCGGCCATGCCCTCACCCGCGCCTCCCACCGAGCTGCTGCCGTGGGAGCGCGCCGTGGTGCTGCTGTCGTGCGTGCTGTCAGCGCTGGGCTCGGGCCTCCTGGTGGCCACGCACGCCCTGTGGCCTGACCTGCGTAGCCGGGCGCGGCGCCTGCTACTCTTCCTGTCGCTAACGGACCTGCTCTCGGCTGCCTCGTACTTCTACGGGGTGCTGAAGGACTTTGCGGGCTCTTCGTGGGACTGCGTGCTTCAGGGCGCGCTCTCTACTTTCGCCAACACCAGCTCCTTCTTCTGGACGGTGGCCATCGCCCTCTACCTGTACCTCAGCATCGTCCGAGCTGCGCGCGGGCCCAGCACGGACCACCTCCTCTGGGCCTTTCACCTCGTCAGGTGAGTAGGAGACGCTACTTTGCCGCCAGGCTCCAGACCCAGTCTTACTGGTCCCTGGCCTTGCCTGCTGCACTCGCGCGTCCTCCATCTAGATGGCAAGGTGGCGTGTCCTACTGGTAGTGATGCCCCCAGGCATCCCGGAACCGTGGAAAGATGCCTGGCTTGCCCAAGAGATTGGAGTCAACCTATCTGAGCATCTCTGAAGAGGGTGGTTGGTGTCTGCCCCAGCTGGAACCTTCAGGCAAGGTGAGGGTGGGAGCAGAGCTTGCCCACAGGGGTGAGTCCTGCCATTTAGAAAGGATCTGGGGATGATGACACTGTGCCTTTTGCCTCCTGCTTCACGGTGACCTGGCAGTCTCTGCTCCAGTCTGCAGGCTGGGAGGTGAGTTAGGTGTCTGTCCTGGCCAAAGAGCCCACAACTTCCAATTCTGGGTGGATGTACCCACAGTGGGTGTGGTGCATCCAGCCACTCCCAGGCCACAGTGTCTCAACTATAAAATACAGAAAGGTATGCTTTTAAGTTTTTCATGCCATTTATAGACTTCAGGCCCCAGTCACCAGAATTTTTCTTCTAAGTTTTTTTTTTAAGATTTATTAATTTTATTTTATGTGTGAGTATTGACTGCATGTATGTATGTGCATCACGTGTATTTATGTGTACTTGATGGCCTGGAAGGACAGAAGAGGGCATCAGACCTCCCCTACCCAACTGGAGTTACAGGTGGCTGTGAACCATCATGTGGGTACTGGGAATTGAACCCAGGTCCTCCATAAGAGCAACAAGTGTTTTTATCCACCAAGCCACCACTCCAGCCCCTTCTAGGAGGTCTTGACTGCCTAGCATTCATGATCCTCAAAACTGAGGTTTGGGGCTGGTTAGGATCAGAGCTGTCAGCCACCTGGAGCCTCTGAGTGTGGAAACCAAGGCCTTGGCCTGCCCTGCTTGTCAGCAAGAAAACTGTACCCAGAGGCCAGCCTCCCCTGTGTCATTTCGGGGTTCAAAATTCTCAGTGTCCTGTGCTGAGCCCAAGGCAGGAATCCTAAGGCTGTTTCCCTGTCTCCTTGCCTCAGCTCAAGGCCCCAGAGTCTGCCCTAATTATAGGTCCTTTCTGAAAACTTGAGTGCTTTCCAAGGGCTGAGAGGGTAGTCAGCACTTTGGTAGAGACAGGTCACCTGGTTGTCACACGCTGAGACAAACTGGGAAGAGTCACTTGACCTCCTGTTCTTGTAACTCTTGGAAGGAGACCAGCTAGTCCCACTTCTCAGCTGGCCAGACAAAATCTTCGTAGCATGTCATTCACAGCACAGGGACCTGCTGAAAAGGAGGCTGCGGTTGGTTCCTCTCCCCTCCAGCCTGCACCAGATACCAACTGTCAGAGACCGAAGTCTTCCATGGCAGAATTGGAGTCTGGACACAGGTGGCCATTGGCATTGAAAACCAGGCCCAGGCTGGACCTTGCTTTGCCGGAACCTCTCCTCTTGGCTGTACTCCTTCAAAAAATGGAAGAATGCAGTATATTTTTAAGCAAAGGGACAGACCCTTCTGTATAGCCCCGACAGAAGATGATTCTCCTGGCCAACCTGAGTTGGGAGTGCTCTGCTCAGTTCTCATCAGAGGCCCTCTAAGAAGATTCTGTGATGCTCAGGGGAGTCCTTCTAGGGAAGGCTGTGTTCAAGAGACTTGCGAGAACCTGCCCAACTGGTCCATTTATGACCCAGATCCTCCCACGCTGGTTGCTAAGGCCTCTCCACTCTATAGCCTTGGAGTATTAGGTTACTCCTGCCGATGGATCTGTTCGTGTGAGAAATCTCCTCCCTGGACACAGACTACTGACTGCCTACTATGTCTTTTCTCACTTAGTTATTAGACAAGGCCTCCCTATGTAGCCCCGGCTGTAACCTCCTCCCGTGGGTGATGAGATTAAAGGTGTGTGCTATCATACCCATCAATGATCTACTTTTCGACTGACTATTAAAAATCAAGTCTCTCTTCAACCCTTACAGCCTTGGAAAGGATTTTAAAACATTAGCAGCATAAATGGTGGCTATCCTGTAAAGAATTCTGAAGAACAGTCGGGGGGTGATGGCACCCCTGTAATCCCAGGGGAGGTGGAGGCAGGAGAATCAGGGGTTCAAAACCTGCTTCAGCTCTGTTTAAACTTCAGGTCAGCCTGCCAGCCTGGACTGCACGGGACCCTGTTCCCTCCCTACCCCCCAAAAAAGTTACTGGGAATTGATCAAACAATGGAGTGGCGTTTTCTCATTAAATTAGAAGAAAAATCATGAGACTGCTAACATGAAAAAGTTAGGGAAGCTGAACTGTCCTGCTCCAGTGCTTCTGGAAACTGGAGTGATCCTTGGAGGAAGCTCTTGGTTCCTACCTTCCCATCTAGTAATCCTGTTGACCGGAGCCTAGTCTAAGAAAAATGCAAAGCTCACACAAAGCTGTGTGGACTCAGGACTTCCTGAGGTGCTGTTGCCATAGTGAGAATTAGAACTAACTTCAATGTCCAACAAGAGAGGAAGCAGTAAGTTAAGGGACTTCCTCTCCTTCCTATCCAAAATGCGACAGAACTATTAAATGTCCGTGGTTGATGCTCAAAATCATGTTTTTAATGGCATAATAGAATGTGAGACGAAAAGGAAATCTTTTTTGCTTGTTTTCTGGAAGTGCTGGAGATGGAAGCCAGTGCTACCTCCCCAGACCTGAGAAATCCCATCTCTAAAACCAACTACAGGCATGAAACACAGAATTCTGGAGACTCCTCTGCACACACAAGTTCCCGGGAAAGCAACCATGTGACCCAAGAGCCTTCCTCTTAGTACTGAACACGGTCCCATTCCCAGTGACCTTTCTCCTTGACTGAAGTAGGGCAGCTGAGACCCCATCATCTGGCTCCTGAAGGTTTTACAAAGTGATGCCCTGTTATTAGATCATAGATCACCAGTGGTCCAACCAGATGGATGGGGCAGTCACCCATCACTCACAGAAGACAAGTCGGGGGCTCAGGGGTAGACACTCATTCTGACCCAGAGTCTGTGCCCTTGATGAGTCTACCTGGCTGGAATAACAATAACTTTAACAAAACTTACTTATACTTTGCAGATTTCCCAATTGTTAGCATTTTATCTTCTCCCATTATTTTTCTTGAATAGACATGATGCCCCCTCATGTATGTTTATGATATGTGACTTTCCTGCACAGGTACACAAACCAACACATGCCTCTCAGGACAACACTATCACCTATTGGTAGACTTTCTTGAACTTTTGTCTGTGATCTAACAGTGTCTCTGGGGGAAATTCTGAATTATGCGTTGATCCATTTTTTCACATCTTTTTATCCCTTGAAAATCTTCCATTTCCCCATCAGCCTTTACTTATTTTTACTTATTACTAGTGTTTGGAGGGTACGTGTGCCATGGCGCCTGTGTGTGGAGGTCTCTCCTTCCACCTCTATGTGGACTCAAAGGCTTGAACCTCCAGGCTTGGACATGGAGCACCTTCCCCCTGAGCCATCCTGCTAGGCCAGCATTGCCTAGTCATTTGTTTTTGGTTTTGGTTTTGAGTCTGATCCTCCTGTCTCCACTTCCCTTATGGTGTGATTATTAGTATGTATGCTGCTATACCCGGTCTGTGCAGTGCTGAGGGTCAGGGTCAGACCCAGGCAAGCGCTACCAACTGAGCTATACCTCAGCTCCTATTTAGTGTGTAGGCTAGGCTGGCCTGAAATCCAACATGTAGCCCAAGCTAGCTTCAGACTCAGGGCAAAACCTTTGCCTCAGCCTCCTGAGTGCTGAGGTTATAGACTTGTGTCACTACCCCTGGTTCATTAACATTGGCATTGGGAAGAGTACAGCGTGATAATGTGTAGGACGTCCCGCAGTTTTTGTATGTCTGGTGAGTACAGCATGACAATGTGTAGGACGTCCC